AGGAAGAGGAAGAAAACTATGAGTCTCTTCCACAGATATCTATAACAGATGCTTTGGAGAGTCTATATAAACTCCGGCTTTTCGAGGAGCAGCAGGTGGATGGAAATAAGGCCTTAATCCAGCAACTTCTCTTCCATGAGAGGACCCTTTTGAGAAAGAAGGTTAGCAGACAGCAGCAGAGTGATATACGAGACTTCTTTTGTAATTAGATGACGTCTATATATATATTTATGGCAGCAAGCTCGTATAATCCGATATAAGCAATACTCCGTTATAAGCAATTTCCGCGACCTGCCGAAATAGTTGCTTATAACGGGGTTTTACAGTATGGAGTACATATCGTTACAGAGTACACCTGTAACGATCGAAATCTGCCTTACACGTGACTCTACGATCGTATTCGGCATCATAGCCCAATTAGATTTTTAGTATAGTCCCACCCACCAACCGTGGAACCATTCCCCCGATTGGCGGCTCAACCGGCCTTTGACTTGCCACTGCATAACGTGTCTGCATAATCCTGCATTACATAACTTGCATGACTGTTTGTTCGTACTCGTATTCAATAAAGTGGCTGGCTAGTTCACTAACTAACTTAGTTGGTTAGTGAACTAATCCACCTTCCATCCCCCAGGCATCAACTCCGTATACACCCGCTCAGGATCATACTTGGCCCGGATCTTCTTCAACCGGTCAACATTCTCCTTGGGATACGTCGAAAACACGTCCTGTTTGGGATTGGCGTCGTTCAGGTCCAAGAATGCCGGACTGTCGATTCCCTTTTCTTTGAGGCGTTTGGTGATGTCGCTGTTCGCCTTGTCGTAGAATTCATCCAGTTGTTCGTCTGTCACTGTGCTGAGAGCTGTGATGCTCTCCTCAACCCAGATGTACGGCGCGCCTTCGGGGTCCAACGACATGGGGTCGCCACCATTCACTGTCGATGCCTCGATATACTTCTCGCCCACAGCCGGAAAGGCGAGTGCCGCGACAAGCACACCAGGCGGAAGCTCAGACTTGGCAATGTCCAGATACGTATCGTGCACGATGGCGATAGCCTCGCGGTTCGACGCGTGGATATTCAACACGTAGAAACGTTGACGGTCACCCTTGAGCAGTGGGAATGTCGGGTCCAGCTCAGTGGTCCACTTGTACATCGACCGGTGGGAGTACGAGTTGGTCATAGTCTTCAGTCCTTTGTCGTTGCTGGACGTGCCATTCTTCGTACCCAGGAACTTCTTCAACGACGCAGGAGACTCGTTCTTCCCGTTGTGGAAGACAAAAGAGGTATAGAACGTTGTGCCCAAGGCTTGGATAAACTCTACCGTCGGGATAGTCGCCGACTTGTAGTCTTTCGTTCCGGACACCGCGTAGTCATGGACGGCGTCGATAAAGGCGTCTGCAGTGTGCTCGTTGTTCACGTACGAGGCCAATCCGATCATTACCTCGGGTGCGTCGATGGTGGTCATCTCAAAGTTCGTCACGATACCAAACGAATTTCCACCACCGCGAAGAGCCCAGAAGAGATCCGAGTATTCATTGTCTGCGCGGGCGACTGCAACCGTTCCGTTCGCCAAGACGACCTATCTCGTCAGCAAGTCTCATCCTCCAATCCAGTACCGGAGAAATACCGTAAAACTAGCAATATTAGCAGACCCCCACCCATACTCATTCCCAAAATACGACACACCCCCTCCCAGCAACAACCCGGGCACACCAACAACAGTCAACCCATACGGCTCCAGCCCCTTGTACACATCCACCCAGTGATTCCCCGGCCCGATATTAACCGTCTTCTTATCATCAGACACCTGCACCTGCGACAATCCCGCCGTGGAAAGCAAGATACCCGTTGAATTAATATTCGCCGCGTCCGCGATAGGCATGTGTCCACCACCACGGACGGCAAAGGGGGAAGTGAAGTTCTGGAACGTCAGGACTGCATCGGCCATTTGGTAACTGTCGGATGGTTCGAAGACGCATGCTGGGCCGAAGAAGGCGCTTGACGTATAGAAGTCTGTACCCGTGGTTAGACATGTTTTTTTTTTTTTTTTTTTTTTTTGTATATATACATAAATATATTTCCCACCACATAAAAAGGGAACGTACCCGTGTTGGCCTCGATATAGGCATGATCCAGACCATATGCGGTCAATTTGGGATACTTCTCGTGCAGTGCCTTGCAGGCCTTTTGCGCAGGCGAGTCATCTTGTAGACTGTTCTGCGCAAAAAGCAGCAGCAGGGACAATGCGATGGCTGCCTTCATCCTGCGATTGTGCTGGTATGTCGAAAAACAGAGCAGCCGGACCTCACGGAGAAGGGAGTCTGTATAACTAAATAACCTTGGTCAAACTCTCAATACACTTTCACGTGTTTCGAAAGGTGGTGATCGGCAGGGCGAGTTGACCATTTTTTGGTCTGCCCAATTCCGGGCCTATTTCGACGTCGTCCGTTTGGGATTTCCTCTTAACAAGCTGCATCCGGAAATCGAGCGCCCTGCATTTGGTATGCATCGCGAGTCGCACATGGGATACTACCCTCGGTATCGAAAGTTTAAGTCAAATCATCAAATTTTAGAACATCAGGTCATAAGCTATGTACAGTCGTGACCGAAAAGACATTAAAACATGCCCAAATCTATATGCGCAAAAACACCGATGCTTAAGAACACAAAACTCAAATGCTGAAACGATTAAGCATTGTTGGCGCATGTAAAGCTGGCCTTGGAGGAGTCGTCGTGAATGGCTTTGCCCGACACATACAGACCGAGTCCGCACTGTTCATCGTTAGCACCGTGCTGTCAACGCGTGGAAAAACGTGTATGTGTGCACTTACTATCGTCGCGCCAATGCCCACGATCAGAACGTTAATGATCGTCAGGACGATCTTGCGGGGAGAAGAAAAGTACTGACCCCAGTTGAGGTGCAACCAGTACACACCACCAAGACCGACTGCACAAGTTAGTCACTGTCAACTCCCGTCACATCGAAGATACGTACAACTAAACCAACTGGCAAACAGCGCACTAATCAAACTCAACAAGTTGCTGAAACTCGGGATACCCTCTGCGATGATCCAGGCAATAATCCAGCAGGTCAAGCCAATGGCTACCCAGGAGCCGACCGAGACCAGATCGCGTCCACCCATGCGCTGAGGGTTCTTGCGCCAGATGCGAACATAGAGGTATTTCAGACCGACGTGACCGTTGACGACACCGGCACCGATAATCTAAACAATCAGCTCTGTCCTACCACATAGAGGAAAGAAAAGACTTACGGTCGGAATGGCAATTCCATAGGCGACCTTCTTCATGACAGGACCGGCGGAACCCAGAGCAGGCGAAGCGACGTCGTTGCCGACAAAGTAGTAAATGACGACCGCAGCGATCACGTACAGGCAGATCTCAAAAATTTGCAGCATGCAGAGCGCCTTGGGAAAGTCCTGGGGCTTCTCCATCTCGGCAATGAGACCAAAGAAGGCGACGTGGGCGCAGTAGGCGAAGACGATGTTGGTGACGGCGGTGAAAGAGTGATAGAGGTTGGTTTCGGTGGTGATGTTGATGTCGCCGCCCTTAAACTGCACCCCGACGGAGATCATGGTGATCAAGACGGCGGTGAAGATACTGATAAAGGAGGCAATGGAAACGTAGGTCATGTTCTTGATGGTCCGAGGCAAGGAGAGAACCATGCAGATGAGCATACCCACGATACCGAAGACGATGGAGCAGGTACCGTGGTCGGTGATGGTGTTCATCATGGTGGTGAAGGTGACGATATGGCTCCCCATGATGAAGATGGAGAAGAGCAGCTGGCCAAACCCGAAGAGCTCACGACCAAAGCGACCCATGATGATCTCGCCAGCGTCTGCAAGGTTGTGGATGTGAGGGTAACGCGCACGGAACTGGCCAATGGTATAACCAGTGTAGAGGGCGATGATACCGAGACCGACGATGATGAGGACCGCGCTGGATTGGTCAGATAAGTATCTCTATAGAAAACAGCTGGAGGTGAACTTACGGCACCAAACCAATGGCAGCCAGAGTGGCTGGCAACGAGAGAACACCCAGCGAGACGGATTCCGCGATCATGAACATTCCACACTGCCACCACTTCAACGACTTGTACTTGACGGCAGAGGCCTCATCGGTAGCGAAGGGGTCGACATAGTGGTTGTCGACGGGCTGGACAGGCTTGAGGTCGTTCTCTTCCAGATCCGCGTCATACTTGTCGGAGGTGACCTGCTTGGACTCGATGGGTTCCGGAGGAGCGACGCCTTGGAGGACCATTCTGCTGGCAGTTGAGTAGCAGAAGACGAAGTGAAGGGGTTGAGAAAGAAACTGAGAGAAGTGTGAGTGAGAGAAAAAAGAAAGAGCAACACGAAAAAAAAAAAAAAAAAAAAAAAAAATCAAAAGCGGCAACGGCGTAGTGGGGCGGCTGAAAGATAAGCAATAGACGCGCGTGAGGATATTGAGTAAGAGAATTCCCCAGACTCTTGCTTAATTGTATCACCGTGACCACAGTACTAGTACATATGTAGTAGTAGTAGTAGTAGAATCTGCATTCGTGAGTTTCTCCAGTTTAGGCTAAGCTTCGATGGTGGGTGCTGTCACCGTCCCACGAATCACACGCGTATAAAATAGAGTCTCGGACCACATCCGGAAACAAGCACTGCAACCATGCACGTTGCACTTGGCAGGGCTTACAGCATGTTCTAGAAGGTGTGCTCAGTAATGGTTACATATGGTACATATCGGGTGTACATATCTACTGTACAACTACAAGTAAACTACTACTATGTATGTACCAAGTATGTACAGGTACAGAGGGGATCTGTCATAACCTTATCTCTTTCGGACTTTTTTGTGCGACTCGGTCGGAACCGACTCGCTTAAGGCGCTCACCGCTAGCTTTGCGGGGATGCGGGGGGATCACGTGGTCGCGTGCGCGTGGTCGCGAGAATACAACAGTACATACAACCAATACGCCCGATTTGCTGGTCAACAGCCATGAAAAACCCAAGCAGCCCCCCGCGCGGGGGGCTACCTGTATTTAGATGATAGATGGTAGTTTAGCTAGGCAGTTCCGATCTGTCCGTCGTATGTCCCGCACCGGGACCAGAGCCTCACCGCTTCCGTGGAAGGACTCGCCCCCGACATAAAATAGACACACACACACACACACACACACATACAATACAGTACACCATGGAAGTCTCTCATTTCTGTTATGTATCAGTTCCACCCCCGCTCTCCGCATCGCTTGGTTAAATATGCTCTATGTATGGAATACTATTACCCCAGAGTCTTGCCCACTGAGATGTGACCGGCCCGGGGATAGCCGCTCCTGCATTACTGGGCATATATATCTCACCTGCGCTATTAAATGATGTCAATGTCGATGTAACCTATGAAGGTAATGCAGTCATGCAGGTTCAACATATCCAGATCCAAGCCGATATATCCGGGACCACCGGAACGACAATCCTATCTCTAAGCCTTATACTTCAGGTGTCTGTTCACGTGGCTGAACTGTAACTAGTTAACTAGTTAACTAGCAGTTTCGCTATCAATGGTGGTGCATCCATAGTTATCATGGTACGGAGTACTCTACTCTGGCAAAGGACTTGGAGCGATTGTGACTTCCGGAATAAGCTCACCCCGCTCGAGGGGAACAGGTATAAAGTACTCTGTACACTGTCGCTCTTTGTTCTCTTCTCTTTGTACTTTGGAGTCATACAGGAATATTGCATTCCAGCCTTGCATTCCACCTATTAGCGGCCTGGTCTGCATCGTGGCTGAGGTCAGCTGAACCCTACGAACCTATCCTAATCGCGGTCCTATCTCGATCGACGGCTGATCAAGATGGCTGTTCGTTTGCCAAGGTTATCCGTTCTCTCATTGCATTCAACACTGCCCATCGTGCGGATACTTTCTCTAGTGATAGTCTATAAATCCGGTCATATCGCCCTGCTGTATTCTAGTTCTTCATCTTTCTATCGATCAGAAAGCTCTGCATATCGCTTCTCTGTCTTCATCACTTCGCCATGACCCGTCTCGAAAACAAAGTCGCTATCGTTACCGGTGCCTCTTCCGGCATTGGTCGTGCTATTGCCCTGCGATATGCTCACGAAGGTGCCAAAGTCGTCTGCGCCGATCTGACGCTTCATCCGCACTCAGAGGATGCCACACCTACCCACGAAGCCATTCAGCAGACTGGCGGACAGGCCATCTTCCAGCAGACAGATGTCAGCAACACTGCTCAGATGCAGAGCCTGGTGCAGAGTGCCGTCAGCGCATATGGTCGTTTGGATATGTAAATGCCCATAGGACCATGCTAAACGCTGCTAACACCTGTAGTTTGGCCAACAACGCCGGCATAGGCACGGGTGGTCGCGAGCCATCTGCTCTACATGAAGCGGATGAAGAGCTTTGGGACGACACGATGCGCGTCAACTCCAAGTCCGTTTTTCTGGGCTGTAAATACGCCCTGGTTCAAATGCTGCAGCAAGACCCGCATCCATCAGGCGATCGAGGATGGATCGTCAATGTCTCATCTATCGCAAGCCTGATAGCCATCGAGGGGATTGGTATGAACATTCCTTAAACACATTGAGATCAAGCTAATCGACTAGGACCGTACTCCGCCTCCAAAGGAGCCGTGAGCAGTCTGACTAGACAAGCGGCACTGGACTATGCGCCGCATCGGATCCATATCAACGCCATTTGTCCCGGCTGTATGTCCCCGTACTCAACTCGCTTACCCTTACTAACGAAACAGTTGTCCGAACTCCCATCCTGCTCGCGGCAGCTACAGACCCGGCCTTGGCGGACGAATACCATCGACGTCACCCGTTTGGCGGTATTGGAGAGACTGAATATATTGCTGCGATGGCCGTGGTGCTGGCAAGCGATGATGCCCGCTGGATGACCGGTGTTGTTCTGCCGGTGGACGGAGGATATACTGTGCGGTAGTATTCTATCTACAAGTATCGTACATAAGATCATTTCAGGCTTTATCAAACTGCTCCTTCGGATCAAACGATGATCTACGCCGCAACAGCTCCAACAACGGCAGGAACAGTCGTGGCCCACTGTCTGCCTGACTTTGGTTCTTGATATCCTCCCACGTCGCCCAACGCCATCCCTCGCATTTCTCCGGCTCGACGAGCTACTCATCATCAATACCAAGTATCCACTATACCCCAGACATAGACTCACCTGCGGCCGCGCATCATCATCATCCACAACACCCCCCATATAGATAGTCACGTAGTGCTTCCCCACATCCTTCATGACACTATTCGTAGCCGTCAAAAACCGCAAATCGCGAACATTCAGACCCGTTTCTTCCAGGACTTCTCTCTCCGCGCATGCGTCAAATGTCTCGCCGAATTCGAGATGTCCCCCGGGGAGCGCCAGGGTTCCTGTCCTGTTAGCCTTGCTCGAGTCCAGATAAGGGGAGGCGGGGTACCTGCGCCATGGCTGCCCTTTCGCACGCCAACGACGAATTGGCCCTTTGAGTTGAAGACGAATACGCCTACGCCGATGTCGGGTCTCATTTTGTTACTGTGTTATAGAGAAGGTGTTTTTGATTGAGGTTGGTTTAAGAGAGATTGCAGATTTGTTGACTCACCCCACCATCACGTGAACCAATCAGAATACAGACCAATGCTCCGCTATATGGTGAAAGCTCATCTACATCTCGAAATGGACTATGTCCTTACATACATAACCTCCGGATATGCCGACGACGGCCCACGCAGAATCGCAGGTTTCTTCCCCCTCAGAAAGAACCTAGACGCCTCCATAATATAATGCGTCAAAATCGTCCTAACACGCAGCCCAGGCAACGTTCCCAAACCCGGCAACGAACCCAGAGTCCTCGCAGTCGCATTCCGAAGTGCCTTGGCCGACGGCGCAGAATCAAACACAACCGGCAAATCACTGAACGTGAGATGCAGCGAGTCCTTCAACTGCAGCTGCAGTTTAAAGTCGCGCAGATGCGGCCAGGTTTCGTTCCACGTGTTGTACTCTGAATCTGCTAGACTAGCCTGGCCAAAGTTGATAAACGGTCTGTCCAGACCCTGCTGGATGACTGAGCCGTGCAGACTACCGTCAAAGTTGATGCCACCGGCGAAACGGGTGTCGTTGAGCATTGCCTGCGCTGCTGTGGCGCCGCCTAGCGAGTGTCCGATAAGAGCTACACGGTCGAGCTGCAGTTTGCTGGGGAAAGAAGGAGGGATGATCGACTTTGTGTTGTTGCTCAACTCATTTAGAGTGAAGATAACATCACGCACTCTTGTATCCACAGCAAGAGGAATATCCGACATATTAGCCTTCCCAGCGACAATCCGTCCATCAGGAAATTCCACCGCAGCCGCATCATACGGATGATCGACCGACACCACCGCAAAGCCATTGCTAGCGACGTTCTCGAGAAGATTGGCGTAGATCAGTCGCGAGGCGCTCAGGCCGGGCGAGAAGATGATAACGGGGTATTCCTGAGTTTCGTTCCGGCGCGAATGCTCCCCGGATGACCACGAGCCTAATTGGATCGATTCCAAAGTGCCGTTTGGCAAATTCAGCATCTGAGTACCTGCTTGGGCGATTTTAGGCGGGAGATACGATTCGTATTGCACCTCGCCGCAGTAGACAGGCACGAACGAAGTAACCATGATGGCTCTCGTGGCATTGCGGTTGGGACTGAATGGATCGATTCGCGATGTATCGACCAATTCGGCCGATCTCGCTTCAACCTGACATGGTCCGGACGGACCGGGCAGGTTGACTTTCGAATAGACGAGTTGGAACAGCGTGCAGAGGATAAGAAGGCGCATGGTGATTGCTTGATTGCCAAAGTGAAGACATGTATTGTGCAGCACGATGCCGTTTATTTATCAACGGTAATTATGGTGCCTGTTGCGGCTGTGTTGCAGGATTCGCGATGCATAAGACACGAGGCGATTCTAATACGAGAGATCGGCTTATACGTGATCGCCCTCCGGTTTGCGATATTTGATCTATTGGTGTCATTTTATGCATTTGTATATAGTACAATCCCGAGCTGAAAAACTGAATGTTCGGAATCTATTCATTTCTCCATAGTGCAAACCAGGGTGCGGCAATCTCGTCCACCCATGACGTAGTTATAAGGAACTTGAAATGGACCCATAACGAATTTGAATCTTAGCACACCGGGTTGGGCTTGCCGCCCAATGAGCAGGGCAAACCTTACACGCTGCCAGCAATTATTCACGAGTCCCCAGTGACCTCGAACCCCAACGGAGCCATGCTGGATTCGCTTCCGATCGCCATGCACCTCGACAAGGTGTTCCCGTCCCCGCCGCTGTTCCCATCCGGCGACGCCCGCTACGCACTGCTCGTCGCCGTGGGCAAGATCGCGAGTCTTCTGGAGCCCGGGTTCCGGCCATTGATCGTCCCACGCGTGGCGGACCATCTGGATCCGCGGGGACAGAAGTACTTCCACGAGACGCGGTCTGCGGCCCTTGGGAAGCCGTTGTCAGAGGTGCGGCCGACAGACAAGGAGAGCCTGGACAAGCTGTGGAAGTTGGTTGAGACCGAGTCTGCGGCGCTGATTAAAATGCTGAAAGGAACGGAGGGGAAGAAAGGTCCGTTCTTCGAAGGCGAAGAGCCTGGATTTGCGGATTTTCGTATGCTTGCCAACTGGCGTTTATCGAGCGCTTTGATAAGGAGCTCTTTGAGAAGTTCTTGGGTCTGGGCAATGGTGAAATCAAGGCTCTGTACAAGGCTTGCTTGCCCTGGTTGGAGGGCCAGGGCGAGGACAAGGAGTGGCCGATTCCCCAGGCTGCCTCATCAAGTATAAGAGTTGAATGGAATGAGATTGTATAGATCGATATCATTGGAATATATAGCACAATTGTCAAATTCATCAATCTACATAATAATACATGTCGGCAGGCCCCGGCGGGCTTTTCTATCTGGTATCCAGCGCAGTGACCAGGTTTGGCCATCTCCAAGAGCCCAAACAAAAACATTCCGAAAGGGATCTAGTTTCCCATGGTGGGCAGCACACTTCTAGGGAGGAAGTAGGCAGTCACCTCTGGATGTGGGGGAATATGGTTGACCTGGAGCGGGTCGTTTGGTTGGCGGAGTCTCGTACGCGGAGACATCTTGCCAGAGACACTACTCAGTGAACTGGTCCATGTATTGTTAGTGTACATAGTATGCATAGTGTAAGAAATAATGAGTTTTTCTAACGATTTTCAATTTATTTGTCGCTACTCTTTGTGCCATAAGCCTCCAAAAGGGTAATCAGATGGATCGCTTGGCATAATATCATACAATATGCCCAACGACCAATTAAAGTCCGAAAAAAACACCGCCGTAAGGCTGTGCCGAACTCCTGCTGAATCCGGAATGCCAAATACTTTGCCCGAATTGTACCAGAATGCTGCTACGGAGTACCCCGCAGAGGACGGGATATATAAACAGAATTATCCCCGGATTAAACCCTTAGTCTTCCCTCTACCACGTTACCGGTTACCCTACCCCGGAATCGCCGATCTACAAACAACATCTCATCCTCTATCACGATCTTTACATCGACTACATAGCCTCGATCCCCGCACACACACAATGGGTTTCGATCTCTCCGCAATCACCCCCGGACCAGGTGGCACAGTGATGCTCGGCGAAGGCGGCGGAATCGAGGCCGCTGCCCGCCGTGGCCGGGAACGGCTCCGACGGGAAGCCTTGGAAAGAGAACAAGCCGGTGCCACAAACGATACGAAGTCCGAATCCACCCTGGTCCCGGGATCGGAACCGAACAAGGAAGCCAATTCTGAGCAGAAGAAGGACGAGTCGAAAGGGTCGGGTCGTGGCGGAATAAAAAGTAGATGGCGTGAATGGTCTCGGAGACATATGCCTTGAATGCTTATGTTTGGTACTTCTTTTTTGCCTCTCGGGGATTTTACCTTTTGCTTCTGTTCGATTATGATATCCTGATGTGTGACGAGTCTATTTTTGAAGTCATGACTTTCTCGCTCCCAACTTTCACAACCAATGCGACCTTACGCAATATCCGCAAATGGATAAAGATGAGTACTTTTCTTGAAAAGTTACATATAGCAGTGTACATGGTCATGTAGGCACTCTTACGATGCACTTTTTGCTGTCAACTCCAACAACCAATTAGATTAACCTAAGTAAAGGCTATCAAAACAAAAAAAAAAAAAACAAAAAAACCGCTTACGATGCCTCCGCATTCCTGATTATTTACTAGTCGCGATAAGCCCAAAGAGGCATTTGTGCAACCCTAAGCCACCCCTCATTGCCTATCATCTAACGTCAGCCTTCTGTACATTCAACAAAGAACATATGGGTATGGCTTACATTGACGATCAGTAGACATGCTTACTTGTACTCTGTGTATTTTCCGTAGTTTCCGTAGTCGCCATACTTGCCGTAGTCGTCGTATTTGCTGACTTCGGCGGCGTCGTCACCACGTCGGTAGTGGCCGTAGTCTCCATACTTTCCATAGTCGTCATATTTGCTGACCTGAGCAGCAGCCTCGTCACGGCGATAGTGGCCGTAGTCATCATATGTGCCAATTTCGGCAGCAGCATCGTCACGGCGATAGTGGCCGTAGTCATCATATGTGCCAATTTCGGCAGCAGCATCGTCACGACGGTAGTGGCCGTAGTCTCCGTACTTTCCATAGTCACCATAATCATCATACTTGCTCACTTCTGCCGAGCCTTCGTCGCGTTTGTAGGAACCGTACTCGCCGTACCGTCCATAGTCACTGTACTCAGTAACCTGGGCTGCGGTGGTATCAGGTGACGCTTCGGGTTGCGCTTCTGGGTTGGCCACGGGCAGGGCACTGGCCACGGCCAAAAAGAAGGCCATGGCACCGGCAGTGATGTGCATCGTGAGGGTTGGTATTAATAGTAGAGTTATTAGAAGTGAATAAGATTCGATTGCAGAGCAGGGTTGGAAGATGTTGTTGGTGAGATGATTTGGGAGGAATGTAGACCGGTTTTATACCTCCCTCCAGGTATCTTTCTCTCCAGCTTATCAGAAGATACTTACCTACGACTGTCGTACATACTCTTGTGAATTGTGCCATTTCAAGAAAGAAAAAAAAAATGTCATGACGAATCGGCGAGTCCAGAATATCCTCGCTGAGGTCATCTAGTCACGAATACGAAGGGTATCCATGCATCCGCCTTATAGAACCAGGGTTGTATACCCTATTCTCGGAAAATGCTAGGCACTCGAGTTGGGTACATCGTCCGATTCGAGTACTTGCATCCGAATATTGTATGTGTTGTGAGACAATGTACCGGTGACCTATGGGCTCAGCCCACAACGCAGTGTCAGCTTACCTGCAGGTGCATGATCGATGCATGATGTCGTTCTCATGAATGGCTGGAAAGTATAACTAAGACAGCATGCCGCATATTGGGACAGTTGTGTTCCCAATTTAGGTGCTGCACAACGCAGACCTCGTGTTCGTGCCCATCATCTTGACAAAGGTTACATCGAGGCTGCACCGGCGTTTCCCGACAACCAGGCATTATTATTTCCCTACTCTATCCATCTTCCTCCTTCGACAGAGTACCTTGTTCTTATCTTCCTATTGTTACCCATTACCAAGTCCAGTTTGAACAGCATGCAATACTCCAAGGCGAACACAGATGATGATTTTGAATCTCGGGAAAGTCTGCTCTCGGATGAGGGATCTCCCCTTTATCAACTAGAGAAGAACGCGAAGAAATGGCGTCGTGTACTCTTAATCTCACTTTACCTGCTCGGGACTGCTTTGGCTTGCTTGGCTGCCGGCCTAGCAGGATACTACTGGCATCGCGACTTGGACGGCATTTGTACTAGTCATACCTCCGAATCTTGTAAGTTCCTCTTACCGTTTGCGACAACAGTAACTGACCGGTCTAGCTCCTCTGGTGAATAAAGTCAGCTACCACGAGCAACGCTTCAACGGATCCTTCCTCAAGGAGAATGCTTTCCGACAGGATGCCGGTCCAGAGACCGACGCTGCATGGGCATCCATCGGGGCTGACTGTTAGTCCTTCTTGTCGTTTTCTCACGAATCATGCTAACCTGGCAGTTCGGGCGGTCCGCATCTCTCCTGAGGAGGCTCGCGACATAGGCATGCCCAAGGACTTCGTCAAGATCAGCGAAAAGCATGGTGGCGGATATCCTGTCCACGTCGAAGGCTTTCATCACCTTCACTGCTTGGTAAGTCATCATACCTATACCGGAAGTAATCACATGCTTACCTCTCAGAACCTTCTTCGCCAAACGAACTATTACAACTACGAACATTACCGAGACCTGGGCCAAGGCGCATTCAAGAACGACGAGTTTATCGTCAAGCGCCATGTCAGTAAGTACCACTATCCTTACAGTCCACCCGGATGAAATGCTAACAGGCGTAGCGCACTGCCTCGATATCATACGCCAGCAGCTCATGTGCACCACCGACATTGGCGTTTTCGGTCAATTCTGGATATACCCCCACCATCCCGAGCCATTCGTCGACTTCAACACCCAGCACAAGTGTCGCAATTTCGAGCAACTCCGACAATGGACAGAGAAGAATCAACTGCCGGAAAAAGTCCCATCGGATTTCCTGGAGCCTCCCAAGGTGGGGGATCGCATCTACCCCGAGGTTCCGTGATTATTACACAATCGACATTGGTCTGGTTTGGCTTGGAATAAATAGGGATGGTGAATGTACATAGCAACTGCAGTCGTAATTAAAATGATATTAAAGCAACGTCATATGTCCAGGGACAAACAGTAGTTGACCTATCTGAGATAAGAGATCTGCCCCGGGTGTGCATATACGAAGTGACAGGGGGGGTGCAGGTCGCCTATTTGTCATTACAAGTAGGCTAGCCATAATCCTTGAGACCCCGCAAAACAAATCCCGATGTACCTATTTACAGCCGGTAGTAATCTTGGACTCTTAAGCAGTTCGCAAGTCGGCAATGCCACCAAAGTAAGCTTGAATGCCGAGAATTACGTAGACAAATTGTACAAGACTTGAAAGCTTAGTAGTGGTGGTGATCCACCAAGATACCTGCAGCAAAGACAATATTATCGACCACAAAACAACCGATAAATTCATACCAAGCGGGAAGAAAATCCCGAATGGGGTGGATGCCCAATTCGTATGGGAACCAAATGTGCCATATCCAAGTTATAGCAACCACTAAAAATACAACGGCTTGAATAGCGAGACCGGAGAGGCTCAGAGCATTGGGAGACTGTACGGAAGTGATATGGCGAGCCTGCATGAGGAACGCGACGCCTTCGGCAATAGGCATGACGGGACTGGAATTGAGCTGGTGAATGAACGTGATAAACCCCATGAGCAACTCATAGCCTATGTCACCATGCAAAAAGCTCATAGCAGCAATGATAAGAAGTGGTATGATGGATATAAGAAGGAAGGTTGCATAGGCAGCCAGAGCCCACGTGTTTCGCTCATAGTATTGACACAGTGCGAACCTGGGAGATGTTAGCGATCGTGTTGCTTGAGAGTTGTATCTACTTACAAGGCCAGAAATTGCATCCACATTGTAATATATTCAACCAGTCACCAGCTTGAGGTGGGCATTCAAGAAGGGGTAGGTCGTTCCCTGAACCCAGGGGCGGAGAATTGATCATGCAGGACACCAAAATCATGATGAACATTGTGAGTTGCTCTGTTGCATTGACCAAATTGAGGAACACATAACCCATCGAAATCCCTGTGTGATCGTTTTGCACCCGAACACGATGCAATCGGGGGAGAGATGATCCAAAGCTCAAGATGAGCAGAATGCTGCTGGAGATCAGCCTCTAAACCGGATGCACTCGAGTAATACGTATCTTCGGGCCCAATTGGGGAGATTCGGAGAGATATTCATGATTATAATTAGTAAGTTATGGGACTACACGCCACAGGATAATCAAAAAGAGGATGAAAGACATGTCGCGTCATTGTAGCATCACATTGTCGTTAGGACATCGACCTGGGGTGATGCCCCTGGTTGCGGATCCTCATCCTACTCGTGCGGACAGTGGGCTGGACAATGGCTACTGGCCTTGCACCAAAGATGAGACTCTCAGCTCCATTTACAACAGCCGAGACAGCGACGCCGTGGATATCACAGTGGAGGGAGAATCTCCGATTCATGCAACGACGACTACGACTCGGGCTTCCTTTCGGGCTACAAGCGACTTCATTGCAGTGTGTAAATGAACATGAGAATTGGATAACCTTGTGTGAACGGCTTACTCCAGACGCTCAGTGTGTACAAGAACCACAATATCCACACTTAGAATCACAGGCCGTGTAGTCCTTCTCAGATCCGCTGTCCCAATCCAAATCCGTATACTTATCCTGATGCTCCGGCGCCGGGGACGACAGCTTGTCGTTGTCACTGATATCTAAGCCCTCTTTCGTCCATCTTTCGCTTAGAGTAGTCGGCAGAGCTTTGGGCACATCGTCGCAGACCTCTCGCAACTCGAGCACCCTTCTCCCCTCCTCGTGGACCAGTTCAAATCGACCATCCGGCCGGGCGCGGGCAAAGGCGACCAACAACTTTAGCAGGAGGGCTAGTTGGCGCAAGTTATCCCTTTCATTTTCCTCCCATTGAGCCAGTTTCTCTCGGACATCGTGAATTTGCATCTCCTCCAAGTCAAATACCCCGGCTTTATGAAACGCAAGCAAAAAGTTAGGGATCTGTGATACCCACATACGAGGCAACTCTTCTCCGAGGACATTGTTATCCTTCTTTCGAATTGATCTGGTCTTTAGGTCAAATATGGCAGCCTGCGGCACATGGTCTCCGGCACTTCGAATCGTAATGGATTTCTTCCTTGGGGTTGAGTCGGGATCGCGTCTGCCCAAGATTGTATCTCCGAAAATGGAAGCCAACTCCTGGTCGGAATCAATTTCTCGGTCAATCTTCGCATTCTGCCGTAGGTCCTTGGACTGCTCCTGCACGAGCTCAGGAAAGTACCCGTCTGCTTCGAACCGTACGACACACTTCAGATTCCCAAAGGTATACTTTATCAACCGTTGATGCGACTCAGACCCCTTGGCACCAGATGCCCATGTTGTGTACGCCTCTGGGAAGCTATGTCCATACCCGTAAACATTTTGAATAACTTCCCTCGGCGAATTCTCTCTTCGGATTAAGAAGACCGTCGACCCAACCACCTCAACCAGCATTCTGAATTCACGGTCGACCTTTCGAGCAAAACGTAAGAGATTCCCGACTGTACTGCCGCAACCAACGATGTCGATACTCTCGGTAGGAAAATCAGGATTCTGCCTCAATATCGCCTCGACAGCCGGCTGCATCGGGTAGGGAGGATAACGCGCAGCGTTCTGGTCACGGAAGTATTCCCCAGCATCCTCTTTCAACTTGCTGGGACGCAGTAATGGCGTCCAAGCGGGTGGATTTCCTGAGCGTTCATGACAGTCAGCGATGATCTTTAGGCTTCGTGTTCGAAACCAACCTGGTATTAGTATGGTCGGCTCTTTCTCATTCAACCAGTTGAACGATGCGATCTCCTTGCAGTCGGATATTTTTGTGGACTTCTCATCGACGTTACTAACATCGGCCAGATCGCTCTCATGCACCTCGGCCAGCATAGATCCGAGCGGCAGGGCAGGGGATTCTTGGGTTTGCGGCTTTCTCCAGCTTTGATTCGCAAAGTCTCGCGAGCGTCCTGAATATCCTGCCCTGCCACGTCCACCTCGAGTCCGTGTGCTACGCCCTCGCTGTTGCATCGACATGGTGATTTCGTGGAAGACAGGAAAATCGTTGCGACAGGAAAGACAGAATGCCTTGATTTTTAATGTTGCAAATCCAACGATGTCTAGCGATCTCGATCAAAGTGGCGTCATCCGCTACGTATCTTTGTTTGGCGCATCCGTTGCTGTATCAATGCGGCACAATGCAGCTGTTAAAGCAATCAATTGGCCGATGCAAACGCCAGCTGTCCGTCCTTTTGTCTCGCCGTCTATCGCTTTGTCTGATGGAGGGGTCAGCATCAGGGGATCTGCGAGCCGTGGGGTTTTCATTTTGAAGGTTGGCGTCTGCCATTTCTGAGCTTTCCTACAGCTCTATCCTTCGTGGAACTATCTCCCCAACATTACCTGTCTTGTCACTACTGTCATCAGCACAACATGAGTTGGCCTAACCAACGTACCGGTCGATTAGATAGATTTTTCGACCAAGTGCTATACGGCAAGAGGGCTTTGACGACGCCCGACAATGTGAAGCTCTTCGTTGAAGCTGTGCTTGCGAAGGACAATCATTCCGCATGCATCGAGCGCATCATCGCCAGTCCGCAAGCACGCGCTGCTATCCATAACGGTCTCCGGTTCGATGTATCTCCAGCGTTTATCAACCAGACTACAACTCCCTTCATACGCTATCTGTCAGATCCTGCCGTAAAGCAACTGTGCAATGGCCAATTTCTTCAGGAGCTACTCACTACTGTAGTTGAGCCCCGCACGATATGGAACGCTTTCATGTTCGCATTTCAGATGGGAAAGCTGAGCGAAGATTCAACTTATGCATTCGCCTGGATGCTGTTTGAGTTTCTTTCTCTACCTCCGTCTGGCCAGATCGACCTGACAGAAGATGCAAACAAGGTGGTCGGCGACGGATTGCTCCAGCAGTCATCGTCGCCAGACGTCCGCGCTCTAGGGCATAAGATCGAACATATCCTGCGCGTTCGATCCTCCAATGCACCCGTGGATCCCGACTTTGCGCCCGGGGGTCGCCATGATAATGACTTTGCCGAGTTTTGGAAAATTGCCATTTATCCAACGGCCAGCGAATTCACATCCACCGAGAAGCCCTTCTACCGCCGTGCTGATGACATAGCCAACATTCCCGCGGAAACGCGTATCACCGCTCATCTGGATAATCAGTTCCGTCTCCTGAGAGAAGACATGATCTCCGAGCTACGCGATGATATCCAGATCGCCCGTGGACAGAAGAAAGGACGTCGGTCCGTTACACTTTTGCGGCGGTTGTCTCTGCGTGGAGCCCGCTGCCGTGAGGGCAGTAGGTTTAAGCCATTTGCTCTGTCACTTGCTTGCGAAAAGGGACTGGAATCATTGTCTGGGCTCAATCATGATCAAAAAAAGCACCACTTGAAGGAAAATCCACAATTTCTCAGGCACCATTCTTTTGGATGCCTTACTCGCCAGGGCGAAATTATTTCTTTTGGCATACTCGAGCGAGACATCGATCATCTGTCGCTGGACCCCCCTCAGGTGGTATTGCAAATTCTGGGAAAAGCAGCGCTGAAGGAAACACTTATAGCGTTGAGGCTGTACAACGATGTCGACTTCCTCATGGTCGATGCACCCGTATTCGCTTATGAACCGATCTTGAAATGCCTCCAGAGCAAGACCGACCTGGCCCTGGCAAAGCAACTGTTGCAGCACAGCCGAGGCGATCCGGCAGCATTGTCAGCCGTATTCAGCCCTTCAATTGTCGACCAAATTACAGCTGCAGGAACTACCAATATTCAGCATATCTTGAAGACAAAAAAGCCCGTCAGTCTAGAGACGTCTCAGCACGAATCCTTCCTCGCGGGTCTGAAGCAGAGTGTCAGCCTTATTCAAGGACCTCCGGGTAGGCTCATCCTCATTTCTCTGCCATAGCGAAACGTAGCTGACTTCTCTAGGAACCGGAAAGTCTTTCGTTGGCGCTCTGTTGACAAAGGCTTCCCATGAATACACCAACGAAAAGATTCTTGTCATGTGCTATACGAATCATGCTTTGGATCAATTCCTCGAGGATCTTCTTGACATAGGGATTGATAAAGAGGCTATTGTTAGGCTTGGGTCCAAGTCCTCTCAGCGGACTCTTGAGCTTACCCTGCCAAAACAACGGATTCCCTATCAGCGAGGCCGGTCTAGCTGGGATGTAATTAACTCGTTAGGATCTGAAGCGGATAACCTGAAGGACGAGTTGACGGGGGCGCTTGATGCTCTGCAAAACTTCTCCGTAAACACTGGGGCTATTCTTGAGTTCTTGGAGTTTGAAGATCCAGACTTTCACGAGGCATTCATTCCTCCAGAGCAGAACGACGGCATGGCTATTGTCGGCGCACATGGAAAAGCTGTGGATTCACACCATTTTTTTGACAACTGGGCACAAGGCAAACACCCCGGGGCATTGGTCACACAGCTGCCAGGAGAGAGCCAGCAAGTGTGGGAGATAGAACCCGAAGCGCGCAAAGGCTACATTAACAAATGGAAAAAGACCCTGCTCGAAGAACAGGTCCTCAACATGCAGGCCATCGCCCAACAGTTTGACATTATCCAAGACCGGCTTGGAAAAATGTGGAACGAGAAGACCTTAGAGATCTTGAAGACAAAACGGATCATCGGCTGCACCACGACAGGAGCTGCGATGTATAGCGAAGATATCCGCCAGGTCAAACCCGGTATTGTCGTCCTTGAAGAGGCCGGTGAGATCCTGGAATCGCACGTTTTGACTGCCATGGGCTCCGAGACAAAACAACTCGTGCTCATCGGTGACCATCAGCAGCTGCGACCCAAGATCAACAACTATGCGCTTTCTGTCGAGAAGGGTCACGGCTACGATCTGAACCGCTCCCTCTTCGAACGCTTAGTTCTTGCGGGTTATCCGCACTCGACACTGGCCAAACAGCATCGCATGTGCCCCGAGATTTCCTCGTTGGTGAGGCATCTCACGTATCCCGACTTGTTGGATGATCCGAAGACGCTGAACCGTCCGCCGCCACGCGGGCTACAAGACCGCGTTATATTCTTGGATCATCGCAACGCTGAAGCAC